ACGTCGAGGGCGCTCTCAAAGCACACGCTGCTGCCAATCCACGTCGTCTTGCGGTCGAACTGCATGTCGAGGATCTTCCACGGCAGACCCCTCTTGAGCCCTTCCTGGGTGAACCGTGGAAAGTAGTTGAACGAGCGCACTTCCCTCAATGCGACGTCGCGCATGCCGGCCATCGCCAGGTCATTTAGCAGCAGCGTCATCGCGTCGGTTTGCGCGACTTGAGCAAGAGGTTGGTCGTAGTACTGATACGCGACGCGGGTCTGGCGCCCGCGGATCAAGTCGCCCCAGTTGGTAGAGCTTCGGTACTGCAGCGTGAGTTTCGAGTTGCGAAGTGCGCTGAGGCGGCCGCCTTGGGTCATGCGGTAGTGCCAGATCTGGGCGGCGGTTTCCACTGGCGACGGCTCCGAGTCGAACACGGACGTGACAAACGCCGACGCCGTGTACGTCCCGATCAAGATCGCGCGTTCTTCCGCCGTCAGGTCTGCGATCAACGACGCATGCAGGCTCAAATCGATGGCCATCACAACGTGGTCGCACTCGATCTGGACGAGTCGCCCACCCTGCTTGTACGTTACGGTTGGCTTGGACACGCCGTCCAGGCCGCGAGTGATGCGGGTGGCTTTGGCGCCATACACGACCTCCATCGCGGGGCGATGGGCTCGCGAGATAGCGTGCCAGATGCTCTGGAAACCCTTGGAAAACTGGTACGCACAAGGGGCGTGAGCGATTTGAGCTGACATGATCTTGGACACTGCCTGCGGATGGGACCACCACAGAAAGTAGAACGCCGGGATGTTTTCCAACACGCCGTAGCCTTGTTGCTGCTGCGAGAAGCGAAACATCCCAGTGAGGGCGGTCAAGTTGTTGGCCTTGATAAAGTCCATGGCGGTCATGTCGAGGAGGCGCCAGTCCTTGGGCTGCGGCGGGAGGCCGTACTCGTACGATCCTAAAATCTGGCGGTGGAGCGTAATGTACCGCGCCGCCTGCTCTTGAAACAGCGCCTGGAGCTGCGCGGTGGACGCGCCGCGAGGGAACGACGCAGGGGCGTTCTCTTGAATCGACCGAAGGAGGTAGTGCGGGAAGTCCTGAACCGTCGACGGGTCAGCGTCATCGGCCCCCGCACTCTGCCCCATCGTGTACATGTAGTTGGGTTGCTCGAACGCAAACGGGAACTTGGTGTTGGTCGGGTCGTACTCTTGAGCAAGGTCGAAGATCGGCGTGTACGTGTCCAGCGAAAAAACCGTGCCCAGCTCGTGGGGCCGCCGGTAGGCATCGGACGCCGTCGCCGATTTTCCCCCGACGTGGTAGGTCGCTTCGAGAACTCGGATGTTGGT